AGCACAGAGAGAGAGAGAGAGAGAGAGAGAGAGAGAGAGAGAGAGAGAGAGAGAGAGAGAGATTTTTGCCACGCTGTCCATTATGTTAATTCTGAGACGTGCTGCTCGGTCGGTTTCGTCTTTGGCTTTTACCTTCCCGGAGATGCTCGATGATGCACGCCCAGCATTACGGCTCACATGAGAAGGCTACTTCTGACAGCTCCCCCGGGCGGAACAGCAACTGCCAACCAACATTCAGAATGGCAGTTGCTCTCTGATTACTCCTATTTTATTTTTTGGACATTACAAGCCCCCCGGGCTTATAGTTGAAGGCGACTTCCAGCAACTCCCCCAGGCCAACCAACATTCAGTCAGAACATCTGGGCCCACCAAACTGACTCTCACGCACACACTGACACATGCATTTGCAATTGTGCACACACCGACAGATTCAAAACTCAACAAGTAAGCACATACATTCAGGATCAGCTGATCACACAAAAATTGACAAAACATATTCAGAAAACACAGCACACAAATCGTCAGCGTCGGCATCTTCTTTACGATTCTTTCGCCAGAAGATGAACGGGACAACGGGATCCACTCAGCTCAAAACAAGTTGCACTTTCTCAGATCAGAGTTCGCGGAGTGGAACATTGATCTGACATCGGGACAACGGGACAACGGGACAGTGGGACAGTGGACATCTCGAAACAAGTTGGCATTACACAGTCATACCTTTCTTGGCCTTTTGGCTAAAAATAGATCAAGTGCACTGTATCTGTTCTGATCAGTTTAATATCTGATTCTAGTGGTCTATGGGGCCACAACGGTGCACTGTATCTGTTCTGATCAGTTTAATATCTGATCCTAGTGGTCCATCGGGCCACAACGGTACTTAAAAAAAAAAAATAAAGTTGCATTACACAGCTTCCCAAACATAGAATCGATGCTGAGAAGGTAACGGCTTCCCAAACAAAGACTCGAAAGTAAAAGGGCAAAAATGAAAAGGGTTCGGTGGTATTCCCTCCTGTTTTCTTGTTAGCCGATGCCTCTGTGTCTGCTGTCAGGTTCTTCTTTTTCTTATTGTGAAAGAAGCATAAAATGATAGGAACAGTTCATTTATGCTTTTTCTCTCGTTTGTGCTTCTTTTTTTTTTTTGG